TTTTTTGGGGACAGAGAGAGACAGAGCATGAACAGGGGAGGGGCAGAGAGAGAGGGAGACACAGAATCGGAAACAGGCTCCAGGCTCTGAGCCATCAGCCCAGAGCCTGACGCGGGCCTCGAACTCACGGACGGTGAGATCGTGACCTGGCTGAAGTCAGACGCTTAACCGACTGCGCCACCCAGGTGCCCCTCTTATGATCTTTTAGATTTCTGTGCTGTCAGTTTTAACTTCTCTTTGATTTCTGATTTTATTAGTGTCTTCTTTTTTGTTGTTGTTTTTTGTTTTATTTTGGTTTTGGTTGTGATTTTTTTTTTTTTTTTTTTTTTGGTTAGTCTAGCTAAAGGTTTGTTCATTTTGTTTTATTTTTTTCAAAGAACCAGCTCTTAGTTGCATTGATCTCTTCCATTTTTTGTCTCTTTTTATTTATTCCTCCTCTGATCTGTATTATTTTCTTTCTTCTGCTGACCTTGAACTTTGTTTGTTTGTTTTCTAACTCCTTCAGATATAGACTTAGACTTATATAGTAGGACTGTATTGCTGTGATCTTTCCTTTTAGAACCACTTTTGCTGCATCTCAAGGATTTTGATATGTTGTATTTCTGCTTTCATTCATGTCTAGGTATTTTTTCTTTGATTTCTTTCTTTAAAAATGTTGCTTATTTATTTTTGAAAGAGAGTGTGTGCGCACGAGTGAGGTAGGGACAGAGAGAGAATCCCAAGTAGGCTCTGTGATGTCGATGCATAGGCCAATGCCAGGCTTGAACCCACTAACTGTGAGATCATGACCTGAGTCAAAACAGGAGATGCTTAACTGACTGAGCCACCCATCTCTTTGATTTATTTGTTTGACCCATTGAATGTTTACTAGCATGTTGTTTAATCTCCACATATTTATAGTTTTTTCCAGTTTTCTTCTTCTAATTGACTTTTATACCATCTCATTTGGAAGAGATCCTTGATATGATTTCGGTATTTTGATGATGTCTTGTTTTGTAGTCTAACATGTGATATGTCCTGGAGGATGTTTTATGTGCATTTGAGAAGAATGCATATTCTGTTGCTTTTGGATAGAATGTTCTGTGTAGCACTATTGTCTGTTTGGTTTAATGTTTTATAAGACCGATGTTTCCTTATTGATTTTCTATCTAGTTGATCTATCCACTGAGATAAGTGGGGGTTAAATTCCCTACTATTACTATATAGCTTTTAATTTCTCCGCTTAAATATGTTAATATTTCTTTATGTGTCCTGATGCTTCTATGTTGGGTGTGTATATATTTATAAATGTTATATCTTCTTGTTAAATTGACCCCTTTATCGTTACATAAAGTCTTTCTTTATTATTACAGTCCTTGTTTTAGAGTCTATTTTGTTGGCTATGAATATAGGTATGCCAGCTTTGTTGTTTGTTTCCATTCCATGGAATATCTTTCTCCATCCCTTCACTTTCAGCTTGTGTTTGTCCTTTCTTCTGAAATTAGTCTTATGTGTGTAGAACACAGATGAGTCTTGTTTTTTTTAATCAATTCAACCATTTTATGTCTTTTGATTTTAGGGTCCATTTACATTTAAAGTCATTATTGATAGACATGTAGTTATTGCCATTTTGCTAAAGGTTTTCTGGATGTTCCTTTCTTCTTCTATTTCTCTCTTCCCTAGTGGTTTGATGTCTTTTGTTAGTGTTATGTTTATATTTCTGTCTCATTTTCTTTTGTGTATTTACTTTTTGTATGTATGTGTGATTGTTGTGAGGTTTACATATAATTTCCTATGTTATATGAGTTGAGTTGACAGCAAATTAAATTTGAACACATTCCAAATCTTTCCATTTTTCTCCTCCTGTTGTGTTTTATATTTTTATGGCACATTTGCATCTTTTATGTTAGGTATGCTCTAACTAATTATTATGGTTTTAGCTAGTTTTACCATATTTTTCTTTTAACCTTCATACTTGCTTTATAAGTGATTGATCCACTATCTTTACTATGCATTTACCTTTTCCAAAGAGCTTTGTTACTTTCATATGTTTACCTGTTATTAGTTGTTGTCATTTCTTTTCAGTTTAGAGAAGTCTTTTAAACATTTCTTTTCAGGCCATTTTAGTGGTGATGAACTGCTTTAGGTTTTGCTTAACTTGAAAACTTAATCTCTTTATTCAGTTCTGAATAATAGCCTTACCAGGTAAAGAATTGTTGGTTGAAAATTCTTCCACTCAGCACTTTGAATATGTCATTTTACTGTCTTCTGGCTTGCATTATTTCTGCTGAAAAATCTGCTGATTTATGAGATTAGATTTACAAGATTTCCTTGCATATAGTACATTGTACTTCTTTTGCTGCTTTTAAGAGTCTCTCTTTATTTTTAAACTTAACCATTTTAACTGTATTATATCTTGGTGTGGATCTGTTTGGGTTTATTTTATTTAGGACTGCTTAGCCTTCCTGAACCTGTCTGTTTCCTTCCTCAGATTAGGGAAATTTCTGTCATTATTTCTTCAATTAAGTTTTTGGCCTGTTCTCTCTTTGCTCCTTCTGGGATCACTATAGTTTAAGTATTATTCCATTTGATGTTGTACTTAAGGACTCTTAGTTATCTTCATTTTTTAGCTCTTTTTTTTTCCTGGTCTCTCTGGGTGAGTTCTGCTGCTTTGTTTTCCAGCTCAGTAATCCAGTCTTTGGCCTCGTTCTGTGTGCTGTTGAACTCTAGTGTAGTTTTCAGTTTAGTTATGTCCTTATTTAGCTCTTTGACTTCTGTTTAGAACCTTCTTATATTTCCTGTCTCTTTGTTGAGGATCTCACTGTGTTCATCTACTCTTCTTCCAAGTTTGGTGAACATCTATATGACCATTACTTTTAACTCTTTATCAGGTTGATTGCTCATCTCCATTTCATTGAAGTCTTATGTTTTTTTTTTTTTTCTTTCATTTGGAACATATTTGCCTGTCTCTTCATTTTTCATTACTTTCTGTGTTTGTTCCTATGTATTAGACAAATCAGCTACCTCTCCTAATCTTGAAGGAACAGCTTTTTGTAGTTGTAACAAGAACCCTGAAAGCACAGTTCCCTCTGACCACTAGAGTAACATGCTCAAGGGATATCATGCTCAAGGTATATGCTCTGCACACCTATCTGCAGTGCATGGGTGCTCAGAACTGGTATCCAGCACAGGTACATCATACAGTGCCACTGAGGTCCAAAGGTGAGTTGGGCTGGTGCCTGGCATGACTGTACAGTATGGCTGTGATGCCATAGTGTGGACATGGTTCTTAGTTGGGTGTGCCCAAAGACTGTAGCAGGTTAGAGAGATATTCCAAAATGGTGCCCACCAGCACTGACATTAGCAAAGTAGGATGATGTTGCAGATGTGGCACCCACCAGTTTCTCTGTCCCCAGAGAAAGTTCAACAGTTTACTGCTTCTCTGGCAAGTGCTTTAAGTTTAGTAAATGGGTCTTTTCACATATGGTCCAGGTGCTTTTCAAATTAGCATTTTTTGCTCTGGTTTAGTGATTCTGCATGTAATCTTTTTAAGAGTGGGTTCTCCATGCTCTACAGTTCTATAGTTTTCCTGGATGTAATATCTATTGTTTTTCAAACCTCAGCATTTAGGGGGCTCATCTCTCTTCTGTAGGGTCTAACAATTTAGCTATCTGTTGTTTAGCACAAACCTCTGATTCCTTGGTATTTTTGTTTCCCATCCCGATTATGTTTCACCCTGCTTGAGTAGGTTTTGTTTTGTTTTGTTTTCTTTTTTGGCAACGTGGTGTCTCTCCCTCTCTTATCCATCTCAATGCTGTCTTTTTTGTCTTTTGCTATAGAGTCTCTGTGCATCCCGTTTTCCAGTCTTTTTCAGAATAAATTACTCCATATGTAGTTGTATATTGGTTGTAACCATGGGAGGAAGGAGTTCATGATCTTCTGATATTGTTATCTTGAACCCATTTCCCCAAATGAATTGTTTCATTTACATGAGACAAAAATAGTGTTTCAGTTTATGTATTTCTGATTTACTAAATCATCTTTATTTATTTGCTTTATTTTAGGTGATTTATGTCATTACAATTGATGAAAAACCCTACACTCTGCATCTCAGAAAACAGTAAGATGTATTTTCCATTAAAGCTTAGATTTTAATTTTGAATATATTTTTTAATTTTTTTAATGTTTTTATTTATTTTTGGGAGAGAGACAGAGAGAGAGAGAGAGCATGAGCAAGGGAAGGGCAGAGAGAGACAGGGAGACACAGAATCCAAAGCAGACTCCGGCTCTGAGCTATCATCACAGAGCCTGACACAGGGCTCGAACCCACAAACTGTGAGATCATGACTGGGCCAAAGTCGGGCGCTTAACTGACTAAGCCACCCAGGTGCCCCTAATTTTAAATATTTTTGTACGCTGTTTAAATTAAAGAATGCAATATAATGTAGACTGTCTTTCTATTTTTCAATCAAGATTAATTACGTCTTGAATAATAGAAGAGTAGAATGATGTATAATAGAATGTTATATTTTAATTTTCTAGCTTATTATTTTCAAATTAAAAAATAAGCTACTTATTTCTAGATCTTCAATTGAGTATAAAGCTATTGAACCCAAGAACTGTAATTTATGTATTAAATAAATATGTCTGATGTGAAGTCAAACATGGTTACACATCAAGTGGTTTATTGGTGGAAAAGTCAATTAATGGCATACATTTTATGAATGTATTAATTATATATGTATTTATTTTTAACAAGTCTATTGGGTACATTCATGTATCATAAAAATCACTCAAGTGTATAATGCAATAACTTTACACTGTATGCAGCACTGCAACCATCAACCATAAATCATTTGTAGAATGTTTCATATCTTACATAAGATCCTCACGCTGTTTCATATTTAATCCCTGTGCTCACCCACAACTACAGGCAACTATCAATCTATTTTGTGTCTCCTAATTTTCATTTTCTCAGCATTTCATGCAAGTGGAATCAAACAGCCTTTTCTTTGCCTGCATCTTTGAAAATATATATTTGTAACAACTGCCTTTTGTCTGCCTGCATCTCTGTAGTTGAACAAGGATAAAGAAAACTACCCACTTAATTTATGACTGTTCCCATCTAATTCATGACCGTTAAACTCATGTTGGTTTTTAATGTCTGTACAACTCCACTGAAATATTTTTTGATAAGACCATCAATGATCTTTACGTTGATGAATGCCAGTTATGTTTTAATTTTCACTTTTCTTTACCAAATGGCAGCATCTTGTGTAGCTTATCAGAATATCCTCAGAAAATACTTTCTTCATCTGGCTTCATTTCTTCATTTGGCCAGAACACTGTGGACTCCTGGTTTAACTTTTACCATTGTGTTTACTCTCTCAGTTTTGTTTGGCTATTTGTTTCAACTTGTTTGTTTTTTATATTCTTCTTCATCTTTCCAATCTTAGAGTACTCCATGGTACTTTTCTTGAATCTTGTTTTTCCCTAGCTACATTCAATTACCTTATTATTTCATCCTTTCTTGTAGCTTTAATATTGATTACCTCCAAGTTATATCCCTACTTTATTCCTCTCCAATGGACATCATATTCATGTATCTGACTACTTATTTGATTATCAAGTGTTTGCTAGAATTCTCATACTTAACATATCCAAAATGTACATCTGATCCTCCCTCAAAATTTATCCTTCCTACAGTCATCTAAGCAAATGGCAATTCTATTCTTCTAGTTTCTCAAAACAAAATATTGGAGCCATCCTTGATATCTTTTTTTCTTCTGTTTTCCCACACAATGGATTATTAATCCCAGTGGATTATTAAATTCCAAGTGTTCAGTCTTCAAAATATACCCATAATTGAACCTCCACCACTGCTAACTGTCTTAGTTCAAGTCACAATCATATCTTGCCTGGATGATTGTAAGAGCCTAACTGCTTTCTCTGCTTCTACTTACTTGCCCTACAGATAATTCTCAACAAGCATTCAATCTGACTCTATTAAAATGTTGGTCTGAAGGGTCCCTGACTGGCTCAGTAAGAAGAGCATGTGACTCTTGATCTTATGAGTTTGAGCCCCACATAGGGTGTAGAGATTACTTAAATAAGTAAAACTTAAAAAAAAAATAAAGAATCTGATCATATCATTTATTTGTTCAAAATCTTCTCATCTCTGTGACACCATCTCTTACTACTGTCTCTTATCTTCAATCAGCATTTCATTCCAGTCACATCTTCCCCTAGTTGTTCTTTATATATAGAATGCATATTTTGGCCTCATGATCTTTGGATTTTCTCCTAACTCTGTCTGGAGTAACATATCTATGCAAATCCATGTGGCCTGTTTTTAGGTCTCTACTCAATCAATTCAGTGAGCTTTTCTATGCAGTGAGCTTTTCTATGCTATCTACACTTTGCAACCTATCTACACTTTGCAACCTATCTACACTTTGCAACCAACTTCCTTCACCCAGGCCTTATTTAATAACATGCTTAACATCTAACATGCTAGCAGTGTGTGTCCTTTATTGTCATGAAAGCCAGTGGTTTTGTCTTTTGTTTACTGCTGTATCCTAATGCCTAGAAGAGGATCTGTCAGTAGGCACTCAGTAAATATATGTTGGATGAAGATATACACAGGCACACACTGATACAGAGGATTTCAGTGTGTTCCAGTGTTAAGAAAAGCCGAGCTTTCTGATATGCTAGTTCTGTCAATTTAAACTGTTATGCCACACTAAAATTACTCTAATTGAAGCATATTATTATATAAATCCAGTATATTTCACATTTATCTTTATTATAGTAATGTTTATATTCCAATTAAGTTCATGACTGACCATTTTTTATTTTTGTTTTTCTTAGCTCATTCTTATCCCAGAACTTTTTGGTTTATACATATAATGAAACTGGATTTTTGCATTCAGAGTCATCATATTTTAAGGTAAGCTTAAGATGGCTTAGATATTTATTATCATATGTTTATTGAAGTGGCCATACCATTATCATTAGGATATGTTTGTTCCATGAGGACAATTTAATTTTTTTTTTTTAACATTTATTTATTTTTTTGGGACAGAGAGAGACAGAGCATGAACGGGGGAGGGGCAGAGAGAGAGGGAGACACAGAATCGGAAACAGGCTCCAGGCTCTGAGCCATCAGCCCAGAGCCCGACGCGGGGCTCGAACTCACGGACTGCGAGATCGTGACCTGGCTGAAGTCGGACGCTCAACCGACTGCGCCACCCAGGCGCCCCGAGGACAATTTAATACAAATATTTTATTCCATATAATTGACCTGTTATGTGGTTGATTGTTGTACATAAAAATAGTAAGTGAGAGAAATGGAGCTAAGATGGTGGAGGACCACTAAGCTTGTCTCATCCCTTGAACACAGCTAAATAGTTATCAAATCATTCTGAACACAGCAGATCAAAACACACGCAGGATGTAGTTTTTTGTTTCCTGCTTTTTGTGTTTGTTCTGTTTGTTTGTATGTTGTTGTTTTTTTTTTCTTTCTTTCTTCTTTTTCCTTGTCTTTGCTTTTCTTTTCTGGACAAAATGACAAGATGGAGAAACTCACCCTAAAAGAAAGAACAGAACTCATGGCCAGGGATTTAATCAACACAGATATAAGTAAGATGTCTGAACTAGAATATAAACCCACAATTATGGGGTGCCTGCGTGGCTCAGTTGGTTAAGCATATGACTCGTGGTTTCAGTTCAGGTCGTGATCTCACGGTTTGTGAGTTCAAGGCCAACGTTGGGCTCTCCACTCTCAGTGCAGAGCCTACTAGGGATTCTCTCTCTCTCTCCCCCTCTCTCTGTCCCTCATGAATTCTCTCTATCTCTCTCAGAATAAATAAATAAACTTACATATATAAATAAAACCACGATTATAATAATATTAGCTGTGGTTGAAAAAGCATAGAAGATACCAGAGAATCCTTTTCTGAAGAGATAAAAGAACTAGAATCTAGTCAGGCTGAAATTAAAAAATCTATAACCTACAATCTCAATGGATGCCATGATTGTGAAGGTGGATGAAGCAGAGTAGTGACTCAGTGATATAGAAGATAAAATTATGGGGTGGAGAAGGAAGATGGTGGCGTAGGAGGACGCTGGGCTCACCGCGAGTCCTGCTGATCACTTAGATTCCACCTACACCTGCCTAAATAACCCAGAAAACCGCCAGAGTATTAGCAGAACGGAGTCGCCGGAGCCAAGCACAGACGAGAGGCCCACGGAAGAGGGTAGGAAGGGCGGCGAGGAGGTTCGCGCTCCACGGACTGGCAGGAGGGAGCCGGGGTGGAGGGGCGGCTCGCCGGCCAAGCAGAGCCCCCGAGTCTGGCTTGCAAAAAGCAGAGGGGCCTGACGGACTGTGCTCCCACAGCAAGCGTGACTTAGCGTCTGGGAGGTCATAAGTTAACAGCTCTGCTCAGAAAGCGGGAAGGCTGGAGGACAAAGGGAAGGAGAGCTGCTGAGCCCCCTGACGACAGAGCTCAGTTTGGTGGGGAACAAAGGCGTTCGCAAGCGCCATCTCCCCCGCCCATCCCCCAGCCAAAATCCCAAAGAGAACCAGTTCCTGCCAGGGAAATTGCTAGCTCCGCGCAAACACCCAACTCTGCCCTTCTGCGGAGCCAAACCTCCGGCAGCGGATCTGACTCCCTCCTGCTGCCACAGGGCCCCTCCTGAAGTGGATCACCTAAGGAGAAGCAAGCTAAGCCTGCTCCTCCTGCCCCTGTGCACCTTGCCTACCCACCCCAGCTAAGACGCCAGATCCCCAGCATCACAAGCCTGGCAGTGTGCAAGTAGCCCAGACAGGCCACCCAACCACACAGTGAATCCCGCCCCTAGGAGAGGGGAAGAGAAGGCACACACCAGTCTGACTGTGGCCCCAGCGGTGGGCTGGGGGCAGACATCAGGTCTGACTGCGGCTCCGCCCACCAACTCCAGTTATACACCACAGCACAGGGGAAGTGCCCTGCAAGTCCTCACCATGCCAGGGACTATCCAAAATGACCAAACAGAAGAATTCCCCTCAGAAGAATCTCCAGGAAATAACAACAGCTAATGAGCTGATCAAAAAGGATTTAAATAATATAACAGAAAGTGAATTTAGAATAATAGTCATAAAATTAATCGCTGGGCTTGAAAACAGTATAGCTGACAGCAGAGAATCTCTTGCTACAGA